GGTATATAAATTTTGAATAACTATGTTATACACTTGAAACTAATGTAATATTGTTTATTAACTATATTTAAACAAAAAGTAAAATAAAATGCAGATCAGATTTCATTACTCTCCTTAAAGCTCCTGCCCACATTGGCTTTGCAGTATATCCCAAGTCCCTCACTCATACTAGTACCTTCCTGTCTCACAGATCCCTTGCCTTTTTCCTCACTTCTCCTTCAGCTCCTGCCACACAAACTTCTTTCTGTTCCATGAATCAGTTACTAAGCTCCTCCCTACTCCAGGATTTTTTCAGGTATTTATCCTTCTTTCTGAGACAAGATCAATTTCTTCTCATCATTTGTCAATTCAACTATCATCTTCTCTGAGAGGCTTTCTCTAAACAACTGTATATCCAGTGTACTCCTCATTCCCAAATCTCCATCCTTCTCCATCACATGAGCCTGTACTCTTCTCCTTGTAGCTCTTTGCATCATTTTAGCTTAATTTTCTTATTTAATGGTTGTCTTGTCTACTGTCTCTCCACTAGAATGTGAGCTCCATGAAAGGAAACCCTTTGCCTTGTTCATGGCTATCTCTCATCACCTACAACAGTGTGGTAGGCACTGAATTGGAGTCATTTGTTGGATGAATAGATGCATATTGCTTCTACCTCCTCCCTTCCCATTCATTTCTCAGTCTTCCACAGTTTGGTGACTACCTTGTCACCTGCTACCTTGTCTAAAACTGTATTCTCAAGGTTCCAGGTGACTCCTGAATTGCCATGTTTCACACACATTCCAGTTTTTATCCTGCTGGATTTCCAAGTAGCATTTAGCAGTATTTACCATTCTCCACTTCTTGAAACTCTTCCCTCTATACACCCACCCTCTCCTGATTTACCTTTTCTAACTCTCTTTCTTGGACTCATCCAAGTGCACCCATGATGTCGTTTGTTCACCTGGAATTGTATTTCCCCTCCCCTCAAATCTGGGCTTGTCCATGTGACATGCTTTGCACACAGAATGAGATAGAAGTGACACAGTTCTAAGCCTTCGAGTGAACTTGTGTATTTCTACTTGTTTTCTTTTGCCTTAATCATCACCAGAAGCGTTTGTTCCAGGAGAAGGGCATGAGCCGAGCAGAGCTTCTGGGCTGCCCCACTCAAGCCCAGGGTAGAGGTGAACCCCTGGCCTATCCAAAGTCCCGTGAACGAGCCGGCCAAGATCTACCAAGCCTCAGCTGCCCCACCGATGTGTGAACTCTAATAAGAAACTGTAATTGTTTTAAGACACTGAGTTTTGGTGTGGTTTGTTATGCAGCAAAAGCTGACTGCTACAGACTTTTTTGTGGGTTTTCCTTTCTCTGTCCAGGGCTTAAGCATTTGGCTTTCTCCTGTCCCCATCCACATGCAGCTCCTAGCTCTATAGGCTGTGTATGATCATCTTCATTTCTGAGGTTTGAACTTCCACCTATGTGCTTAGGTTTCCAAACTTTTATCAGCCACACTGGCCTCAACCTCTGAGCTTCAGATTCACAGAGACAATATCTCCATATGGACCTCCCTCAAGCTTCTTGAATTCAACATGTCAAAACAACATGCAACATCCTTCCCAATTCCTGTCCCCGACCTGTTCATCCATCTGTGTGTTCTGCCCCTACAGTGACACCACTATGTTCTTTGTCACTCAGGCCAGGAACAGAGGCTCACATGTGACTTCTCCCTGTTCCTCACAGTTTGTAGTTGCTAAGCCTTACCTACTTCACTTCCTAAATATCCCAATGAAGGACTGTTTTACCTCCCACTTGACCACTGGCCCGTTCAAGCCTTTGTCACCTGAGCTACTGCAACGACTCCCAATCCAGTGGATCCACAACTTATCTGAGCATCACAATGACCTGTTAAGGGAGGGCCAAGGGAGTCATCTTAGCTGTCATTGATCACAAACCCCTCGTTGATTCACTACCACCAAAGGTTCACCGCGCCCCCTCCCCCACACAGGCACATCACCCCTTCTAAGTTCTGGCACCAAATGCAGTAGTTATATATGCATGAACCCTAGGGCTAAACCCTCCTGCTCAGATTAGCACTCTTCTGACATTTGGCAGATTACTCACTCTCTCTGTGACTAGTTTCCTCATCTCTAAAATGAAGATAATAATTCTATCTCTTTCATTGGGTTGATCTGAGGGTTAAGTAATTTTACTTATTTGTAGGACATCTTGAATAGTGCCTAGCACCTAAGACCTAAAAGTGTTTTATATTGTTGTGATGACTTTTTTTTCCACATGACATTTTATTGTTTGTCATTTATCATCCTTTCAGAGTTGTTGATAAAGCAAAACCTCTTTTTATACTGTAAGATGTAACATATTCCCATCTTTCTGCTTAGTTTTTTAAAATAATATTTGTAATTTAGTAATAGAAAGCAAAGTACTGTTATGTTAATGAACCATACTAGGTAATTATTCTTGTATGTTTACATTCTTCATATTCTTGTATGTTAAATATTAGTTTTTCCTAATAAGAATGCTTTATTTGTTTTAAAACACAGTATGTTCTTTGAGTCAGGTTGATTGAAGTATAATTTTCTTACAAACCAAATTCACCCTTTTCAAGGTGTATACTTTGATCATGTAACCATCACTATGATCAAGATATGGGGCATCTACATCACCCCAAGAGTTCCCTTGTGTCATTATGATCACCATTTGAGACTTATCTCTTCTTTTCCTCTCCTTCATCCTTTAGGCAAAACAGAATTTGTAGCTGCCCCTTGAGCATCACACTGAGATCACCAGGCCTTTGCCCAGGCTGTTCACTCACCAGGTGGGCCCTTCACTCACTTCTTGACCTGGCTAATTCCACCTGTCTTTCAAGCTTCTGCTGTCACCCCCTCTACTGTCCTCAGCCTGGGTTAACACCCCTGTCAGCTCCTGTCCATCCCTCTCTGTGGGCTCCTCTCTCTCTGACCTGTTTACACATGACAGTACCTCACTGAACTGTCAGCCAGGGGGATGGCAGGGACCTGTTTCCCAGGCTCTAGCCTGGTGCCTGGCACTAAGCAGATGGGTCCGGAGGCCAGACTTTGTGATGGGTATTCTCTCCTGCCATGGAAGGCTGTGGAATTTGGCAGATACAGGCCTGCGGTAGATGATGCAGCAGGGCCAGGGGCTCTGAGTCTGGGGGAAGCCCCTTGTTCTTCACATAGGTACACCTGCCTGTCTAGTTCTGGATGGGTCTGGTTTTTCCCAGATACAACTTGGGAGAGAGCAAGGCTGAAACATACTCATGAAGTTGAGCAGGGCCAAGGATGGCAGTCCATGGGCACAGAAGTGGCCAGGCCAGGCCAGAGGGTGGGTGGTTGAGGTTGGGGCTGAACTGGCCTTGATGGAGCCCGGTGGAGGGAGGACAAGGGGCAGGGAAGAAGGAAAGGTTAAGGCTCAGGCCACACCTCCTTTCCATACTTGAACATGTATTGAGGCCAAACTAATGTTAAATTCTGGGAGGAAACAAAGGGCTCCTTTTTTGTAAATACCCCTTACTCATAGGAAATTTGTAATCCCATAATTGATTTAACAATATTCACGGAACATGTATTCACTGAGCGTCTACTTTGTGCAGTGCTGGGTCAAAGAAGCCATTATTGTGACCACTTTTCTCCTACTTCCTCACCCTACCTCTAGGCACTCGCCTTCTGCCAACGGCTTCTTGCTGCTTTGCTCTGGCTGACAGGGCATGGGAATGAGTTAAACTACCCTAGAAGGAGCCCCCGACCAGTGGAGGGATGGTAGTAGGTAGGTAAATAAATAACCCACTTCCTTATGGGACAGGTAGGACATCTTTGAGTGTGTACTCACAGGAATCTGAATGCCCAGGGACACTAAGCCCTGGCTGCCCACAGTAGTCACTTGCCTGATATTGTGCTTTTTATCAGTCCCTTCTCATCCCATTTCTCTACCATTGTTTCCTGTGATCATTCCCCAAATGAGTCACTTGTACCCAAACCCTCCTGTCAGGTTCTCTTTCTGAGAAACCTAAACAGTAAATGAGGTAAAGGCTGTCTTTGTCCACAGAAAGGCCCTTGAGGGCAGTTGGGTCTTTACTGGGTCAGTATATCGTTCTAGGCTGCTTGCCTATAAGCAGTCAATAAACACAAACGAATGGATGAATTTCCTCTCTGAAACCCAGAAGGGGCAATGATTGTCTTAGAGGAGTATACCTATTTTCACAGGGTTAAATGGTTTACCCATGGTCAATTAGAACTAGATGATAGCATATGCTAGCCAAAAACTGGACTTCTTGATTTTTATTTCAAGCCAGACATCACCACTGGAAAGACACTGAGTACTGAAAGCTAATCCAGGTTAATTCCCATTGATTAATCATCAATATGCTAAGGAACTGCTGAGATTAAAAATAGGAATGAATGGTTTTATTTCAACTCAGCTCCTCTTTATTTCCTCACAACATCTTATATTTTCCACATATTCCTAACACCAATTAGTACAGGACAAGTGACAAAAAGTAGGGGCAGGGGTATGTGAAACCATCCAAGAGCTTGATATTAGGAACAGTACTCTGCAGCCACAGGGGCCAGAGAAGTCAGGTGCAGCAGATCAGGCTGTCGCAGCCCTTTTGGCCTCTCAGAAACCTTAATCTCAAAAACTTTAGCTTTGGCTCAAGTTCAAAGAGTTAGCTTTAAGAGACACTGATATAATGGTTAAAAAGGAGGCTTAAAATTATCTTAACTGAAACATCCATTTAGTTATGAAGAGAGAGTGTTGGCTTACATTGGGGGATAAACGTCACATAATGAGGAAGTACTATTTGCTCAGTTTTCTGGGAAGTGGGTGTTTTCTTGGGTCAGGCCCTCTCGCCCTCTCCAATGCATGGAGTAAAAGCAGTAAGGCGGCCCGTAATTATTGCTCTGCCAGCTGTGGTTTGGATGAGTAACTCCAACAGACTATGCTTCAGTTGTACCCTCCCTAAGATTGAGTGCAATAACGTCCCTCCATACCTTGTGTACCCTCCATACCTTACGCATCTTCTGGCCTTGCCATCCAATTCCTCCACTTAAGAAAGTTTCTGGTGCTCATTGCAGTCTCTTTGAAGAAAGGGACTTGCCCTTCCTGGCTTACCCCCAGCAAAGTCTGTCCTCACAACCGGGAGCTAGAGGGGGAGCTGTTGTGGAGGTAGTTGGATTTCAATAAAGCATTTCTCCCGGCTGTTGGCGGGTTTTGCGCAGCCCTGCTCGTTATAACACCCACTGCCACCTCAGCAGGAGGGGTACAGGAACTCAGGCCCAGCGCCGCCGGGATTCGAACCTCCGCCAGCCTCCCAGGAAGAGCCCACTTCAAGTCAGCGTCTCGGAGCCGCGCAGCTGTCCTGGAGTGAGCGTGGCCAAGTCGGCGCCCCCTCCCCCGCCTGGCCGGGCGTCCAGCCCCGTCCCGCCCCCACGCAGGAACTAGCGCCGCGCCGCGCAGCCCCGCCCACCCCGGCTCGGCCCTCCCGGTTCCCCGCAGCTCCTCCCCTCTCCCATTGGCCGAGAAGGAGACCCTCCTCTCTGCCCAATGCCCGCCGCCGCTGCTTAGTCGTCCGCACTCTAATTGGTCAGGAGCCGGCGGAGTGGCGGGCCACGTACCAATTGGGAGAGGCGGCCCGATGAATGGCTGGCCCGGGTGGGGAAGGCAGGAGGCGGCGATCCCGGCGGAGGGGGCCGTTCGCCAGCTCCTAGGCAGAAAGTGCCACGACTCCACACGCGCGCACGCAGCCAGCTAACGGCCGGAGCGGACGGCAGACGGGGCGGGCGGCGTCGGGGGCGCGGCGCCTGCAGCTACTCGAGGGCGCCTTCTCGGCAGAGGCTCGGCCGGCTTCTCTCTACCGGTTCCGCAGCGGCGACAGCGGCACCTACCCTCACGCTCTCTCTCCCGCTTCTCCAGCTGTAGGTAAGAAACTTGGTCGGGCCCTGTAGCGGCGGCTACGGCGCGCGGCCGGGACCGTCGGGGCGCCGGAGCCGGCCGCGCCACGAATGACACGTCTCCTTTGGCGGCCCCTCCCCCGGCAGCGCCACCAGCCGTCGCCGCGGCCGCTGACCCTTGGGGTTGGGTCGGGCCTCCAGGGCATGTGCTGGGTCGAACCCCGTGCAGGGGCGTGGGCCGAGCGCGCCCTGCGGTGTGGACCCCACGCCCCTTGCCGTCGGGGAAACTTGCGGCGGCCCAGCGGCGCGACGTGGCGACCCATCTCTTCCCGCCCGGCCGTCGGGCCGGCCCGAGCGCTCCGAAGTTGGGCAAAGAAAGTTGTTAGCGGGGCGGGGCGGCGCGGCTCACAGCTGGCGGAGGAAAGGGTTAAGTTTCGGGAAGCGGCCGGATGACGTTGCCGGGCTGGAGTCCGGGCTTGGAGGGGGTGGAGGGGGGGGGACGGGCGGAAGGCGGCGGAGGCCAGCCGGGGGGAAGGAGGGCGGGATTGAATGAGGGGCCCGCAGGCCGAGCGCGTCCGCCTGCCGGCTGCGTCCTGGAGGCGCTTTCTGGGGGCCGAGCGACCCCCGACGGGACGGGCCTGGGACGCCGGGCTGTGTGTGAGGCCGTACGAGGACCGAGGGCTGTGCGGGGTCCGGACGCCCCGGCGGCCGCAGCGGCAACTTCCCGGAGTGCGGGAGGTGGCTCTCTGCTCCCCCTGGTGGTGGGGCTGGGGGCACCGTTTTCCTCGGCCCGGCCGGGCGGCGCTCAGAGCCTGGGCGCCCGGCAGAGGGACGGGGGCACCTCGGGCCCAGCCCAGCCTGCCGCGGCCGTGCCAAGATGAATGGGCCGGCGGTGCCAGGTCCGGGCGGAAGCGAGCATCTCCGGCCCGGTCGGCCAAGCGCGCTGGCACCCGGCCTGGAGTCCGCCCCGGCCTGCTGGGCTCCTAGGGCAGGGGAGGGCAGGCTGAGGTCCGCCCTTCCACTGGGGCGTCCGGGAAGCTTCAGGGACCCCTCCCCAGGTAACAGATCAAGATGGTAGATCGGTATGTTGTAATGGTTAAGGGAGGGGGTTCTGAAATCTCAGCACCGTTGAGGATGACCTCGACCCAGATGTTTCACTCCATGTGTCCATTTAGCTGTGTGAAAAACAGGGCTGCTGACGTTTCTACTTAAGAGAAAAATCAGTGAAGACCGAGCACACGTAGAGAGTAGATATCAAGTGTTGGCTCTTATTGCTGGGATGAGTTTTTAAGGGCGTGTGGTGCAAGCGAGGGAAGTGGAGTCTGGGACTGGCGCCATCCTGCCTGCTGCAATTGCAAGTCTGGCTTCCACCCCTATGCTACCATGCTTACCGACCATCCTCTGAGCGTGTCCCTTAACCTCTCTGAACCTGGGTTTCCTTATCTGTTGCCTGGAGATAGTAAAACACACAGTTAGAGACTGGGCAGCCTCCCAGGCAAGTGCTGGATAAAACTGGGACTTTGTGCAAACAGAAGGAAGTTTGGTAATAACTCCTGGAGGTCGGAGGTCAGCAGAGACTAGAAAGCACCAAGGAAATGAAACTTTGAACGCTCTTGAGAGCCTCCCACATCACTGTTTGCCTAGTGTGCTGGAAGCATCAGGGTGAGGGGGCCTGGCTGGCACTTTCTGGAGTTTGGGCCTTTCATCCAGACTAGAGATTTCTTCAAGAATACTGCTGCTGAGGTGTTTTTGTCCAGCACTCTGAGGAAGGACAGCTGCATGCTTTATCCCTGTGCATTTGTGGACCGTGTATTCTTCACTGACTCTACCTCCAGCTTTACACTTTATCTCTGTGCTTGGTTATCTTAACTTCCTGTTAATCTGACACCAGAGAAGTCTTGGTGATCCTGCTGCATGCTACTTACTGTGGTGATGTCTCAGTTCCTTTATGAACTTTGCGAAGGTCAGCTGCACTGTGGTCTGCCAACCTTTTTCCCTTCCAGAGAGTAACTTCTGATTCTGAGGTCCTAGAGATGCCACTTCCCTCTCTATTTAAGAAAAGGCATTATGCTAAGCAATATAAGCCAGGGGTGGAAGACAAATACCATATGATTTCACCTATAAGTGGAACCCGATCAACAAAACAAGCAAGAGAAATATAACCAGCAACATTGAAAGAAAAAACCAACAGTAAGGAGAGGGGAGGTGGGAGGAGGGTAATGGGGAAAAGGAGAAAGGTCAAGTCAAAAACCATGTATAAAGGACCCATAGTGGGGAAGGATTGAGGATAGGAGGTAGGGGTGGGTGAGGCAGGGGAAAGTAGTGGTAGGAAAATGGAGACAAATGTACTCGAACAATAAAAAAAAAAAAGAAAGAAAGAAAAGGAAGTTGGGGACAGACCTAATAGATTATTTTCCCTTTACACTGATCAAGTCAAACTTGGCCTGCAGGGCTTCTGGGCCCTGCTTGAGGGTAGAACAAGAACAGAAAAGGTGTCTTCAGATTTGGAGATGGAGTGTCCAGTGGATAGAGATAAAGGCATTATGCTGTAACAGAATTCTTTCATGGTTAGGAATAGGCCTCTGAACATCTATAAAGAGATTAAGAAGTTAGTGGTACCTTGGTGCGTGAATATTTTTTGACATTGGGAGAGTTTTAAATAAATCCCAAGTCACTGAGTCACATTTGAGCAATTTTGTTCTTTGCTGGAATGACCGCTAAGTCAACAGGCTGCAGTAATTATACAGTGCCAAATTCCATTTAAGTGGTTGAATACAAGTGATTTAATTGGAATATTGGTTTATTATGTATCAGGGACACTTTTAAAAGCCTCAGGACCCCAGACTCTTCCTACTTGTTCTTTTATTCCTGGGAGCTTAAACTGATAGGTGAATGACACATAGGGAGAGAGTCAACAGTTTTTTTGAGACACCAGATTTTTCTTTGCCAAAATTTTGTTTTGGGAAAAGATCAGTCAGCATTATAATGGCAGGATTGTGTTATTCATGCACATATCTTGGAACTGCAATGGTTAAGGCCTAGCTCTAGCCCTTAACAATAGTTGACTGAATGAAGTAGACCACAATACCTATTAACATAGCCTCCTTAGTAGTTTTGTTTCTTATTGAACAAGTGAAGCTGAGCCCAATTTTATTTTAAATACTCGTTAGAATCAGATTCCATAGTTTGATGTACACCTAGGTCTTGCAACAACCCCATTTTGTAAGTAGGTATGGTTGTCCCTATTCTGTAGATGAGAATATGGAAACCCAGCTGGTCAGACGGTTGACATGCCAGTTCCTATTGCCCAGTTGGTGGGTGATGTGGGCACAGCCTTCTAAATGTTCACCTACAGGACCATGTAATTCCACATTTGCTGGGACAGTAACTACCCGAGGGAGGACTTGCAACTAGAAGATCTAAATTAAGAGCTTCAGTGAAAGGAAGGTGGGGAGTCAGTTGAAAATGTGTCATTGCAAGAAGTTACTTTTAATTTCATTTCTTTCTCAAGCATCTCATGTGTCCTGTGCCTTCAAACACCATAAATACAAAGAAGTGAGACCTAGTTCTTGTGTGAGGAAGCTGCCATCTAGAAAACTGTGTTGTCCAACATGGTAACCACATTAGAGGTATTAAACTTTAAACAAAACTAAATAAAATGTAAAATTCAGTGTCTTAGTCACACTAGCTACATTTCAAGTGCTCAGTAACTATGTGTTGGTCAGTGGAGATTTAGATCATTTCTATCATCACTGGAAGTTCTCTTGGACAGTGCTAGTCTAGAGATAGTTGGTATTCTGTAAACATTTAAGTTTCTGTTCCTCTAGATCATTTAGAAATATTAATTTATTGAACCATATGAAATTGACCATTCTATATATCAAAAACAGTTGACTAGTGGCAGTTCATGTGCTTCAAATTAATGAGATATCTCACCTTTAGAAAACATTTATTCCCTTTTTGGGTACATTGTAAATTGCATACCAAGAAAAGGAAAGGAGGGCAGGACAGATAGTGGCCCTTCCCTGGAGGGATTCTTACTTTATTCCAACAGTGTAAGAATGGTCAAACCAAACACACACACAGATAGTTAATTGGGCAAAAAACATATGGCTTGTGGGGGAAGTAAATATTTATTCAAAATGAGAGATCCTGGGCAAGAGGGCCACCTAGGATTACAGAAATTAACTTGGGTACTTCCTAGGAGGCTGTTTTCTTTTCTTTTTTCTTTCTTTCTTTCTTTCTTTCTTTTTTTTTTTTTGGAGGCTGTTTTCTTAGTCTGATAAATTCTGATGAGTCTCTGGAAATAGGCAACCTGACTCCTGGGTCTGAAAACCA